GAAGGACAATATGGCGACTGGATGAAAGCCACGGAAAGTCATAGCTGGGCAGGGCTTAACAACTCAGAATCAAAAAGTCCTTCAAAATCTGTTATCCCTCCATCTGATAATTTCTCAGTCCCTGCTCACACATCCAACAGTCAAATAGAAGAAAGCAATCAGGCCAATCATATTCCAGATGAGACTTCTCACAAATCTTCTCAGATTGCTGCCAAGTCTACTCCTGAAATGGTCCCTCTCACAGCTAATGAACCCCAATATGATCAACCATCATCGTCTCTTATGATGATTGAAGTGGCTGGAAACTCAAGCCATAGAGATCTGGATATGGTGCTGGGCTCTGAAACTGCTGCTCAAACTCATGCTGAGTGCTCTGGTCTCCTTAAATCTTCCCTGAAATCCTGGAAAAGATCCTCTTCTAAATCAGGCAGGCTCATAAGGCATGAAGAAGAGTTACCTCAAATGGCAATTCAGATCATTGGGAAAAGATTCAGACCAGATATTGAAGAGTCTCAACCTCATGACAATGAAAACTCATCAGCTGCAGAATCCAACAAAAAGATCAAGACCACAACAGGACAGGTGGGGGTTGCCAGCCTCGAATGGCACCCAAGTGGCCAATGCTAGCCATGGTGTGGAATTGTAGAGGGCTGGGTGGGCCCTCTACAATTTCCCAAATCAGAGAGACTCTGAAGTCTCACCATCCTCTTTTTGTTTTCCTTTCTGAGACTAAAAAATCTAGTTCTTTTGTTAAATCGGTTAGTAAAAAATTGGGCTTTGAGGATAGATTTGCTATTGTTGATCCTCAAGGCCTAAGTGGTGGTTTGTTCCTTTCTTGGGATTCCTCTGTAAATATATTTCAGATCATCTGTCAAAGTTTTTTCATTGCTGTGGAATTTCAACTCCCCTCTTCTGTTAGACAGTGGGGTAGTTTTGTCTATATTAGCACCTGCAGAACTCTAAGGGTTGAGCAATGTTCTATTCTTGAAGCTCTTAAATCATCTTGGGGGTCACACTGGTTCATTATTGGCGACTGGAATGCCATTTGCTCTAGTGATGAGAAAAGTGGAGGACTTGCTATACTGAACAGTAGTTTTGCATGGTTTAATCAGTTTATTAGCAATATGGAAATGGAGGAGATTAGCATGGTGGGTTACCGGTTTACCTGGTGCAACAACAGGCACTCTGAAGGGATTGTGGAAGAGAAGTTAGATAGAGGATTTGGATCAATTGAATGGCTTCAATCTTTCTCAAATGCCAAGGTGCTGAATTTGGTGAAAAGCTCTTTTTATCATTCTCTTCTAGTTATTGACTTAGGTCCTGAAAACTCCAGAAAACCTAAGAGATTTTCCTTTGAAAAAAGATGGCTGACCATGGAGGGGATTCAAGATGTAGTTGAGAAAGCTTGGTCTTCTCATGTTCTGGGGACTCCTTTTTTCAAACTTAAGGAGAAGATTAAGCTTACCAGGCTGGCTTTGTTGAAATGGAGCTCTTCCCACCACAGTCTTAATCAGAATAAGATTGCTCTTCTCTCTAAGAAGCTTGAACAGTTAAGAGAGGACACTTCAGATTCAAAATGGGAAGATTGGGGCTCCTTGAGATCAGAACTTAACAGTGCTCACAGATTGGAGGAATCCTATTGGCAACAAAGATCCAGGCTCAACTGGCTTATAGAGGGAGATGGCAACACTAAATTCTTTCATGCCTACACCCAACAAAGAAGAAGAATGAATGCAATCTCCAGATTGGTTTCTTCTAGAGGTGAGGAGTTCTATTCTCAGCAAGATATAGAAGCTCACATTGAAGATTTCTACTCTCAACTCTTCACATCAGAGGGCTCCCTAGGAGGTGATTCTATTATTCATTTGATCCCTCAAACCATATCAGAGGACATGAACAAATCTCTTTTGCTGCCTGTGGATGAAGAGGAAATCGAAAATACTCTTTTCAGTCTCCACCCTGATAAAGCCCCAGGAGATGATGGTATGAATGCTCTTTTCTACCAAAAGTTTTGGAATTGCATAAAATCTGACTTTGTCTCTGCTATTAAGAGTTTCTTTGAATCAAAAGCCATTCTGCAATACTGGAATCATACTCTGTTATCTATTGTTCCTAAATGTGCTATCCCGGATTCTTTAAACCAGTTTAGACCAATCA